ACACCCCTTGATTGATAAAGTTTTGCACAAGAAGCGCGTTAGCTGTAAAGCTGTCACAGAGATCATGGCTAAGCATCGTCACTCAGAAAGCCGAGAGCCATGTATGCACTGTGTAACCCGCAGGACATACTAGGGCTGCTTGCGGTTGAGTGGACTCCCGCTTCTTTTTTGAGTAAAAGAACGATGTGCCGTTAGTTGTCACGTTTCCAAACCTTCCACTTTCCGCGCCTATGTGTTGATTGAGTTGAGCTCATCTTGAAATTTCCTTTTTGCAGGCATAAGAACGCCACAATCCTCAGGCCAGTTCCGTTCAAGTCTCTTTCCTTGCAAAAGTACAGTTTGCTTGAGAACTCATCTTGAAAGGGGGTGTGAGCGTTAGTAACCATCAGAGATGGTAAATGAAGTCAAGATGATTTTTGGGTTGAGTTCAGAGAACCAATCTAGTCAACTTCAAACGTTTGTTTCTGGCAGGTACCATCCATGCTTTCGTTGCACTTCAACGCAGGATGCCGCAGCATCCATCGTTCGTTCGTTGCACATGGCTCAAGCCATGGACATCATGCACAGGACATTCGTTCATGCGAGAAAAAGATGTTCTAGTGCGGTGCTTTGGGTGGAGGAACACATGTCATTTCTGAGGTGTTGAGGCCTAGAACATGTTGGTCATGTTTGGTTTCATCGCTTCGCAAAAGGAGATTGCCTCCAACCTAATTGCAATGGCCTCCAACCAAAACGCGATGGCCTCCAACCGAAAGGCGATGGCCTCCAATCTAATTGCAATGGCCTCCAACTTAAAGGAGATGGCCTCCAACCTGATTGCAATGGCCTCCAACCGAAAGGCGATGGCCTCCAATCTAAGTGCAATGGCCTCCAACCTAAAGGAGATGGCCTCCCACCTAATTGCAATAGCCTCCAACCGAAAGGCGATGGCCTCCAATCTAATTGCAATGGCTTCCAACCTAATTGCAATGGCCTCCAACCTAACGGAGATGGCCTCCAACCTAATTGCAATCGCCCCCGACCTAAAGGAGATGGCCTCCAACCTGATTGCAATGGCCTCCGACCTGAAGGAGATGGCCTCCAACCTAATTGCAATGGTCTCCAACCGAAAGGCGATGGCCTCCAATCTACTTGAAATGGCCTCCAACCAAAGGCGATGGCCTCCAATCTAATTGCAATGGCCTCCAACCTAATTGCAAGATGGCCAACCGAAAGGCGATGGCCTCCAATCTGATTGCAATGGCCTCCAACCTGAAGGAGATGGCCTCCAACCTAATTGCAATGGCCTCCAACCTAAAGGAGATGGCCTCCAACCTAATTGCAATGGCCTCCAACCGAAAGGCTATGGCCTCCAATCTAATTGCAATGGCCTCCAACCTAAAGGAGATGGCCTCCAACCTAATTGCAATGGCCTCCAACCTAATTGCAATGGCCTACAACCGAAAGGCGATGGCCTCCAACCTAATTGCAATGGCCTCCAACCGAAAGGCGATGGCCTCCAATTCAATTGCAATGGCCTCCAACCTAAAGGAGATGGCCTCCAATCTAATTGCAATGGCCTCCAACCTAAAGGAGATGGCAACCCAATAGCAGTGGCAGCAACTTAAGGCAACATTTGGCCTTTGGCAGCAGCTTCAACCAGCCGTTGGATGCTTGCCATGATAGAGACGTCGACTTTGTGTGGGCTCCGCGCATGGTGTGCTTCAATGACCTGTGCTCCTTTGATTGGTGCTGAAATCAACCTTTCACTGAAATCAATAGGGGTTTCCTGGTCAACCATGAATCAGCTTCATAGCAACCCATGGCAATGCGGCGAAAGGTGAACTCTGGTGCCCCAAGCCAAAAACCACATGCAGTTGAATCGGTTGAACTATATTGTGATTGATATTTGCATTTGGAAGATGTATTTCATTCACATGGTTTCCATGACTTGCCATCACCCTTGAGCTGGAGAAACCCCTCTCAGAAACCGCTTCGTTCGGTTCCGTTTGACAAGCAAGGATGGCATTGATCTGCCGGATCTTCGCAGTTTGAGACTGGGATTGCATTCAGACCCTCAGACCCGACCAGACCGCGGTTTGAGACCCTCAGACCGGTGCGGGAACTGACCGCATGGTGGTATGAGCGGTTTGAAGGTGAAAACCGCCCTTAGCCATGGTCTCCCACCGCCCCTAGCGATTGGCCTCCAACTCGATCGTTTCGACCACCAGAACCGTCGATTCCCCTTTTCTCGCTTACCTGCGAGACCTGCGAGACCTGCGGACAAACATGTGGTATGACGGTCTCGGAGCTCCTGAAGCACTCTCGTCAATGGATAATTCATGATATGTCAGATTCTCCACCTAGTCGGTTGGAGGCCATGGCTATTACGTAAGTTCGGGGCCATCGCTTCCACCAAGCCCTGTTGTTCCCACCAATGCTCGACGATGGCTCCAGGAGGCTGGGCTACTTCTTCCGGCAGAGCCTTGTGAAGATCTCCTTGCCGCGTCTGGAACGACTGGAGATGCTGGGCTGCGCCGAGACGCCAACGAAGGCAGAGGCCACGGCAGGGGTACAGGAGGTGCTACTAGCGATGGCCTCCAACCTAATAGAGAACAAAAACAAAGAAAACAATATCTATCTATCTATCTATCTATCTATAATTGAATAGACCTAGAAGCAATGGCCTCCACCCTACAAGCGATGGCCTCCACTTGCTATAGCGATGGCCTCCAACCTAAGAGTGATGGTCTCCAACCTACTAGCGTGAAAGGAAGGCCGGTCTGTCAGAAACTCTTAGCTTGATGACCGGCCGGTGGCAGTAGTGATTTGGTGTGTGTTTTTCTCATTTTTCCCGGTGGTGGACAGGATTTGTCATAGAATATGTTGGGGTGAAGAGGAATCAGCAGATCATTTGATCAAACCTGCATAGCCGTAGCCATCCATCCACTGAGTCTGGGAAAGGGACGTTTGTGTTCAATTCACTCAACCGCAGGAGGCTGAGGGGGATCAAAAGCCTCGTTTGAATCACTCTCAAATCCAAGTGACTTTAGGTGTGCCTTCAAAGAAGCGGATAGGGTCAACGTGCGTTTTCGCTGTGGCCCTTGGGCGTTCATCAGGACCCCAAAACAACCAGATCACACCACCTGCACTACCCATCCCCTGCACGAAGCTCCACACCGCACCGTCCTTCTGTGGCAGGTCTGCCCGTCCTTGACTCACCTGAGCCTCGGAACCGTCGCGGTGCGAGCGGTGTGAGCGGTCACATCGCCGGGCAAAAGAAACACCTTGTTGTCGTGTTTCGCCGGCTCCTCACTTGAGTCACTTGAGGCATGGTTTCCACTTCATTCAAAGTAAGGCGCGCACGTACTTCTTATAGCACTTCCGAACAAGAAGCTCGAATCGTGTGGGTCGGGGATAGGCACACCACCGTGCGATCACTGCTTCGACCGATCTCTCGCTTCGACCTTGTCGTGTTGTGTCGTGCCGTGGTCGAACGTAGCGATGGCCTCCAACCGCGTTCGTAGCGTCCGAACGGAGCGCGTTCGGTTCGCGATGCCAGCCCCGTTCGTAGCGTCCGGAACGCTCCGTTCGGGCTTCTGAGATGAAGCCTCAGGGATTGCCGATGGCCCGTGCATCGTTCTTTTGGGCCACAGACCTGTTTGTTGGTTCACCGTGTTCTTCCTTGGTGTGATACCCACATGTTCTCGGAATGAGGCGGGGAAAGGCCGCTACGACCGGAAGAAAGACCACTAGTGATAGCCTCCAACGGGAAGAAATGGGAAGAAGGTGAAGTTGGTCATGTGGAATACTTTTGTGGAGTATGATGTCCAAAGCCCGCATTGGTCATCGGACAGTTTCGATTGCGATCCTCGGTGGGAATTGGCTGACCACACCAGCGTCCCTCGTTGGTCAGGACCCTTGGCCATGGCAGCTTTTCTCAGATCAACCTGTCAAGCTCTTTGACCCACCTTAGCATCAACAGCATCTGGGCCTGCACACCGCCAACCGGACGCCCCGTCGTGTTCAACGGCCCGTTTCACACCCGCTGCCCTGGCGGTGGCCGGACCTCCCATCGGCACCCAGCAGAGTCTGGAAGACCAGGTGTTTCTTGGGAAGCAAATCGGATCGGTGCTCAGGTGCTGAAGAGTGGGTGCTTTCAACCGCCCAGGGGGGGACTCCGTTCGGTTCACGAGGCCCTTTGCTACGTGCGTAGCGTCCTCTTGTTACTAGTATGGCCAGGAGCTGCTAGTTCTTTGCTCCTAGCAGCGATGCCCTTTGTTACTAGTACTCGTTTTTTGGTTGCGTCAGTAGCCTGGTGGAGCCTCTCTATGGCTTTTAGCTTCTGCGGTTTTTTGCCCGGTTCTACCTTGACGACGTCTAAACCTCAGGTCTTCCGAAGGAGGCAGATCTGGAGATCTTGGCCGAGCAGCCTTGTGGCTTGCGGACTTTGAAATGCAACTCAACACAGAATGCTTGATGTTTGGAGATCATCCTTCCAAAGTGAGGTGTCAATCTTTGTTGCTTCAGATAATACATACCGATTGCCCAAACCACATGGAGTGGTTGTCGCCCGAGTTTTGCCCAGCCTCCCCCGTTTTGGCTCAGGTCAGGATCTCCTGGTGAGCTTTGAGAGCGACAAAAAGACCGACTGCGAGAGCTCGGTGGGAGACCGCATGGCGTGTGCGTTGGAGACTGCATGCGGGCTGGACCCACCCCAATCGGTCTTTGGGATTCTGCAAAGCAGGAAAGAGGTCTTCTTCTTATTGATTTTCAGGGAAAAAGCGGAGAACGAATGCTCCAGGATCTCATCAAAGGCACGTTGCCGAAAAGAGAATGAGGTACCCAATCCAGACCCAAATCCCCACGGCAAGCCAATGAGAATGAAAGCTTCGAATGTCACTGAAAAAGGACTAGCTTCTTGTTTCTAATAGCTTAGGCAAGTCTAAATAACCAAGGTTCCAAGCTGTTTTTGAGACCTCTAAGCTCAGCTTCCTTTTGCTATTGGGTTCCGTTCCGAGGTTTGGAGGATCTCACCCCGGAGCAGCTCAACCACTTGAACCGGCACCGGGGGGGGAACGGGGGAGCCTCCGCTGGGAGTCATCCGAAGCCCCAAACGGATGGATCGATCCAGAAATGCTTTGTATCTCCAAAGTCTATATGGTCTATATATAGTAGCGAACCTTGTTCCGTTCGTAGCGATACCAGGAGCCCCGTTCGTAGCGTCCTTGCTCCTAGTTAATGTATCTCCTTTGTCCTCTCCATATTGTCCAGATCCAATCACAAACACAGCTTGGAGATCTTGAGAGTCAATCCTGTTTGTGCAGTTCTGGCCGGCCAAGGTGGCAGGTGATCGGGAAATGCTAAGAAATGAATGGAAATGACAACACTGATCATTAGCAAAATGCAAGACTGGCATGGAAAGCAAGATCTGTGATAGCACCACTGACATCTTCACTCTGTCCTGCTCCTCCCATGCTGCCTTGGGTGAAAATCGGACGTCACCAAATCTATGCACGCTGTTCGAAGAAATATCACTGCCATCTCGTGTTTCTTTTCGCTGGTGGCGTTGAGCGATGGAAGGCGAGGTACCAGACCGGTCTGTGTATGTTGTTGGAAGCTGCTTAGTAAAGCCAGGAGCCCCTAGTAGCGTCCCTGCTCCTAGTAGCGATGCCAGGAGCCCCTAGTAGCGTCCCTGCTCCTAGTAGCGATGCCAGGAGCCCCTAGTAGCGATGCCCTTGCTCCTAGTAGCTTCTTGTTCCTAGTAGAAGCAAGGTTGACTCTAGAAAGCTTAAGTGTTCCCCAAATATCTAGAAACCAAATGACTAGCGCGAGCGCTATCCTGCATCCAGTAGTAGCTTAAATAGCTACGAGCTTTCTCCCTTAATAAAGGAGGCGCCTATTCAATGAAGTAGGAGCGGGCTTAAGAATGAAACTTGGAAGCTGCCAAAGACTCCGCGACTCAGCGGATTCATCAGACCAGGACCTACTGGGAAACCTACATTGCCAAATACCCGGTGGCCGGCGCACTCAGCTCGCTAGGCTACGAAGCTGTTGTTCCTAGATTTGGGGGGCAACTTCACTTATATTGGACTGTTCAGACCTTTCTCCCTTTTTCTTTTTGCTTTGTGTCTAATAGCGATGGCCTCCACCCTACTGGGGAATTGGGTACCAGCCTGGGTTGGTTCCTGGTCGGTTTGGTTGGTTGTTCGTTGCTTCGTTGTGGTTGTGTGCTTGTGCTTGATTAACGCTCGGTTTGCTAGGGATCCCTTACACAGCAGTGTTTTCTGGTGCATCATGGTTACACATCTTCATTTCGGGAGGGAACCCTTCACATTTAAAGGTCGGTGTGAAGTAGTTTGTACAATGACAACCTCAAAGAAATGACGTATGCCCGGTGAGTGCCAGGCACAGCTTCTCCCAGAACCAGTGGTCGTTTGCATAAGCAATACATGCTTCTCCTAACAAACCATTCCAAACGAAGCTGAACGATTCATGTTTAAGGTGCACGCTTCACGAGCAGTGAAGGCCATCGCTATTACGGTGGTGGAGCTATTATGGTGGAGGCCATCGCTATTAGGGTGGAGGCCATCGCCATTGGACACAAAGAAGAAAGAAAAGGAAGAAAGGTCTAATATAAGTTTAGTTTCCCTAAAGATCTAGGAACCAAATGATTAGAGCGAGCGCTTGTTCAAGGAAGCTCTCCCCCACCTCAGGCGGGGGGAGCTTCCTTGAAGAAGCATGAGCTATCCTGCGTCCATGCCAGTAGCTTAAGTAAGGCACTAGCTAACTACCTACCTACCTCTCAGGTGGGTCGATTGGAGGATCCCCCGTACCGCGCGGCCGCCGCTCGGCTCTGCTCTCCGCTCGGCTGCGGCTCAGAAGGGAAGGGCGTTGGTGAAGGAGTGGTCTGAAATAGCGTCCTGCAGAAAAGAAGGTGAAAGGGACAATCCGAGGGATGAAAGAGCCCTTTAAAGGGCAAACAACATGTTTTTGGCATAACAGAATTCCTGGTTTATTTGGGCATCGCTACTAGGAGCTACGGCATCTCTCTACTAGGAAAACATCTACCCCACATCCATGTCGCAAAGGAGGGTTCCCAGCATACCCTTTTGGAATTGTAAGGTTTTCCCAGGAACCCAAAGGAGAATCAAAGTCGCCTGCAAAAGCTTGAGCAGCGTGGCTGGCTGACCGTCGAATCATTTGCATCTCAGGACTACGATCGCTTCGTTCCGAGCTCAGTGCTGACAGCTGGATGTCAGCCAGGCCACATCCAGGCCACATTCCGGTAAGGATTTTGCAGCGTGTGATACCTTGGTCAAAGATGATGGTCATCACGCAATTTCCATATCCCCCAAAACCTAGGAGCAAGGGCATCGCTACTAGGGGCTCCTGGCATCGCTACGAACGGAACGACGAACGGGGCTCCTGGCCTGTTTGGGTTGTCACGACTGGTCCGACGGACGTCAAACACAGGTTCCATTGGACTCAGAAATCGGCGTTTCGCATTGGACTGGTTTGGATCGGATCTTCCCCGGAGGAGGGGAGGACCTGCAGGAAGTGGTCAACGGACGGCTTCAGTATCAACTGCTGGAGCACTGACCAAAAACGGCTTCAAAGCCAGGCCATGATCTGGAGGTGACTGGAGAAATGCCCCGAGCGGGTCGAAGACTTTGACCCAGCCATTCCTATTAGGTTGGAGGCCAGCTGCTATTAGGTTCCTTTTGCTATTACCCTTTCTGTCGCAGCTTTGTTAGGCCGGACCCTTTGCACAAGTGCAATACACCAGGCACGTGGACCGTACGACGCGTGGCGCTTCACGCGCAGAGCCTCGCGCGGCAGACTCGTTTTCGTCTCTTATCAGAAAGCCATCAGCACCCCAAGGGCCTTCCAGGTCCACTTCCTTGAGGGAGGCGTCCCACCCAGCTCGTCCCTTCCTCCAGGTGTCCTGGAAATCCGGTGAGTTTGGATCGTAGAGCGGATCGTGCAAGACATCAAGCGTTGAAGACAGACATCTCAGTCCCTCATTGAAGGTGTTTGCGACAAAGGAAGCAACCGAAGAAAGACGGTGCAAATGAAAGAAACGAAAAGAAAGGACCGTGTTTTGTGACACAAAAGAAAGGACTTTCTTATCTAGTCAAAAGAAAGGACAGTGTTTTTTTGTGTCTTTCCAGGCTGGTTGGGAGGCGAAAGTCCAGGCTTTTCGACCAAAAACCAGCCAGTTCGGTGTCAGGCCTCGACGAGAAGGCAAGCCACCACGGGAATCCAGGCGAGATCGAGGTCTTTTCCGGACGTTTGTCTCATTCCACTGGTGGGAAACCCTACTTGGTACTTGCTCCTAGTAGTAGGGTTTTTGTATATAGGAGCTCTTCAAGTATTCAGTACTCAGGGCAGTAGAATGACACAAAATGACCATGCCTGGCATGTGTGAATATGAAGCCTGTTTAAATCAACTGGAAAGCAAACAAACGAGTGAACCTTGATGGGAACCTGGTGGATGTTGAATGGATGACCTGCTACCTCCCTTTGGTGGCTCGAGGGTATTCGCCTCTCGAGAAAAGCTTGAAATCTCATCAAAGTCCGAAGAAGTTGCTTTCCAATCCCAACCCTGTCCGGCCCCACCGAAAAACCTACTATGAACAAGAAGCTACTAGGGGCGCTCCTGGCCTTACTACTATGAACAAGAAGCTACTAGTAGCGAGGCACCACGAAAAACATGCGTTTCGTTCCACGGTTTTCATCGCTCCTGCTAGATGCCCTGTGACCCGTGCAGCTCGTGAGCTGGGGAATGCACTCGTCTGGGTCCTCAGGGCCTGGTGAGCGTCGATAGCGTCCGATCGCTCCAACCGTCGTAGCGTCCGATCGCTCCGTTCGTAGCGATGGTCAGGTGGGCTCATGGAAGTCCAACAGTTTTCTCGCCGGTCAAGTTGCTTCTTGCCTCAGGTTTGTGTGAAGATAGCACCTGCTTTCTAGCAAGTAGAAGCTACTGGGTGGAGGCCATCGCTACTAGTAACAATAAAGCTTTCTAGTTCTTTCATGCCACCATATTTGTCCGAGGGGCACCTGAACCCACAAAGCCCTCACAAGTGTGTGTTTTTGTCAGAGGTGGGTGCTTTTTGCTAAAGCATGTAAACAAGCATTGGTTGGTTTGCTATGTCAGAACCGATGCAAACCGCATGTGTTCACCACTGGAGGGCTACCCTTTGGGCAGCTACCCAACCCAAAGATCCAAAAGGAAGGAAAAGGAGACCTGTTTCTAATAGCTTCTTGTTACTACTAGTAAGGCACCTGTTACTACTAGCGTGGCACTTGTTACTACTAGAGAAAACACCAAAAGGATGCAAAGCTGGGAAAAGGTCCAAGTCTTCACCAAGCCCCTCGACCCAGGTCAAGCTTTTGCCTCGACAGCTCTTGTCGGGCTAGGCCAGCACGGAATAACAAGCGCACGACACGGGGCAAGATGCGACGTTCGAAACACTTCATTGTTGAGAAGCTTCATGAACGAACCTACTAACGATGGCCTCCAACCCAATAGCGGTGGCCTCCAGCATGGTAGCGATGGCCTCCAACCTAATAAACATATCAGGACCTTCGCGAGAACTTTGGGCCAGAGAGTTGAATGTTGGGAATGGGTGGATCTTTACTGAACATGTTCAGAATCCTTCTTTGGCCATCCTTTCACATTTGACCCATACCCAGTTGGCACAACAGAATGCGGGGATGTTTGGAACGTGGCTTCCACGGGCTACAGATGGCTACAGTGACCATGGAACAAAGGTTTCTATGGATTTGTCGTTTTTGCTAGTAGGTTGGAGGCCATCGCTCTTAGGTTGGAGGCCATCGCTAGTAGATTAAAGGCTATTACTATTATTTTGGTATGGATTTCTGCTCAACATGCCGGAGCGGTTCACCTCTACCTGGGCGTCCCAGGTCGAGGGCAGTTTTTGTCCCGCGGACGCTCTGATGGTCTTTGACGGACGGTGCGGCGGAGGCAACTTCGATCCAACCGGCAAGCCCAACTTCTCTCGACACGGGTTGATTTGACTACAGTAATGGCCTTTAATCGACTAGCGATGGCCTCCAACCAGATGAGATGTCAAAAACTTGGACTTTGCTACGCGGTACCTAAATTGGTTGGGATGTTGATGTTTTTCGTCTTCGTTCAGCAGCAGGCCCCCAGAATCACGCAAATCACCAAGGCAGCGCTAGATTGGCGCTTCGCGGTTGATGGATGCTTTGCTGGTTCATGTGTTTAGAATCATTCATTTGGTTTGGGCAGCATTTGGCTTGCCAGCCTGTTTGTCCTGCATCGTGGCGCGTATTTAGGTAGTATACAAAGTATACAGTACTGGGGAGAACACACTTCTGTGAACTCTGTGATGTGTGTTGCTCTTATTCAGAAGTGAACTCTTATCATTTGATGTATTCTGATGTTCACACTCAGTTTATTTGATGTGTGTTGCTCTTATCTCAAAAAAAGAATGAGTTTCGCGTGCTAGATCCGTACTAGCATGTGCGCTAGGTTTGCGCCAGCACAGTTCTCCAATCTAATCAGATGTCCATTTGTCTTGGAAGCAGATCTTCGCCATTACTACTTTGAGAGCTTGCGTCCATGTCCCTTTTCCCATCAAAATGGCTAGCTCTAATCGCTTAGAACCTGGCCAGTACGGCCTGTTAAACAGGCAAGCCAGAGATGCCTTTTAAAAAAGCCTTCGCGGTAGCTACGTTTGCAACAACGCGTTGCACCTCCGATTGAAATACCTCACATTTCCATAGATCCCAAATACCCTTTGTGAAATGTATTGCACAAGAAGCGTGCCCCCATCAGAATGACTTTTACGGCCGCTTTCGGGAAAAGACCTTTTGACAAACCCGCATGTTTGGACCAGATGTTCTTAGGTTGGAGGCCGTCGCTCTTACTCCCAAATAGGAACTGCGAACTCTGTTGGGTCGGTTCACTACTCTCAATGAAGTCCGGCGCCGGTTGGCCAGGCTCGTGCTTTACGGCTCATGTTGAAGACAGCCGAATCGGGCCGTTCGCGACGTGTTCTCCGGCGTGGAACACGCCGAAAAGGGCGCTCCGCTGCTTGGCGAAGTCGGAGTTTCGAAAGGCACCACACCAGAGGAGGTGGGGAAGAATTACTCTATTGCTAGTAGTAATGCCCCTGTTACTAGTAGCGATGCCCTTATTACTATTACTAGTAGCGGAGGTCGGGAAGATGAGCAATTCCCACTAGTAACAAGGGCAGCATCGCTACTAGTATTAAGGGCATTGCTACTAGTGGCTAGAAGCTACTAGTAACAAGCGCATCGCTATCAGAAACAAGTTTGGTCATCGGAAGTGCTGGACGATCCGAGGACGGGTCCCAATCTTTGCTACCGCAATATCGGAAGGTTCTGTGGAATTACAAATTGAAGGTTTATTCAATGTGAGCAGGACCTTCACATTGGAAGTGTGCTTTCCACACCCCGAGTCTCCTTCAACGGCTTTCACACAGTGGAGTTCTCGATTTGGAGGCACACGTGAAGTCAAATGTAGCGCTTTGGTCTTTGTTGGTGTCGCACCCCGTTTGGAGAACGTGGTGACAAAAAGCCGTTGAAGATGTTGGATTTGATTCAAAGTTTGTGAATCCATGGCACCTTGGCATTGCTCTTGTGGGTTCAAGCCAGTTGCATCCAACGTCCCTTTGGCTGCCTTTGTTGCAGGAGTTCCGGTACTGGGTGGTGGGACCAAATGGGGTCATCAAATCATTGCATCGAGAACATATTCCTGATTTATTCCTCTAGAATCTGGTCATGCGCAGCTTTCATGAATACGTACAAGTCGGAGGAGGAGGAGGAGGGTGTCAAGTGCAATTCCTTTCCAGGGTCGCACGCAATGCCTGCTTCCAGAGGAACTGTGGATGTGCTCTTCATTCCACCGGTCAACACCAGGTCCAAGAGTGGGTGTTTCACTGTGTACGCTAGTAGGTTGGACGCCATCGCTAGTAGGTAGTTGAGGCCATCGCTAGTAGGTTGAAGGCTATTAGGGGGAGGTCATTGTTTCACTGTGTGTACAGCCGACGCCGGTAGCGACGCACGTAGCACTGGTGGAGGACTTCCACCATGATGACCATGATGAACTCCGCTCCATTCGTCTCGTCCGCTCCCTAACTGCGCTCCATGATCTCTCGTCGGTGAAGAAAGGATTAAAGACTTTTGTGTCCAAGTTCTGCTCTTCTTGCAGGAGAAAGTCCAAGAAGGATGTTTTTCGCGTTGAGGATAAAGGCATTTGTTCATTTGTGGCGCATCATTCGCGGACGGATGCTTCTCGCAAAGACGCAACTGTTTTTACGCACCGGTGCCATGAGGGAAGACGACATCGGTATGACCTGCCAATCGGTCGGGGGATCTGACATGGACCTTTGGGGCTTAGGTCGCTACTAGGAGCAAAGGGCATTGCTACTAGGAACAAGAAGCTACTAGGGGCTCCCGCCGTACTACTAGGAGCAAAGGACGCTACTAGTAGCAAGAATGCTACTAACCTTTGGGGCTTAGGTCGTTTGCTTGTGCCGCAACGAACGACCGCGGCTTTTTGTCCCAAGGTCTTGCACTGCTGTCGGGGATCTCAGGGTGATGTTGGACACCGCGGAAGAGAATCGCATGGTGATGGTGACAAAGAAAAGCTATGGTGATGGTGATGGTGATGGTTCTAAAGGTCCAGTTCATGTTGAATTGCTAGTAGGTTGGAGGCCATCGCTATTAGGTTCCTTTTGCTATTAGGTTGGAGGCCATTGCTATTAGGTTCCTTGTGCTATTAGTGTCCTTTTGCTATTAGGTTGGAGGTCATCGCTAGTAGGTTGGAGGCCATCGCTTGTAGGTTGGAGACCATCGCTACTAGGGCGGAGGCCATCGCAATTGGGTTCCTTTTGCTATTAGGATGGAGGTCATCGCAATTAGGTTGAAGGCCATTGCAAATAGGTTGGAGGCCATCGCTTGTAGGTTGAAGGCCATCGCTATTGGGTTCCTTTTGCTATTAGGTTGGAGGCCATTGCTATTAGGTTCCCTTTGCTATTAGGTTGGAGGCCATTGCTGTTGGGTTCCTTTTGCTATTAGGTTGGAGGCCATCGCTATTAGGTTCCCTTTGCTATTAGATCAAAGTAGAAGTCAATTTGTTTTGCTGATTGACGATAAGCTTCCAGGAGTCGACAAGCAAACACGCAAATCCCGCACAGACGATGCTGGAACCAGATCTTTCTTGGAAATGCCCAGATAATGCTTCTGTTGTGACGCTGGTAGCTTTCCCGGTTACTCACATTGCAACGAACATCGTTACACTGCGAACGGGGTCTCCCGAATGGCATCCGTATCCCTCTCTTTGCAGGTTCAGGGACATCGCGTGCCTTGGAAGCGCCGGGCAAAAGCAGGCATTGAAGAAGCCATCTTTTCCAGCTCTATGTGGGTAAAGCAACCTGAGCTCATGGATGATGTGGGGGCCCCCAACAGTAACTCAACAAGCAAACTGCCAGAGCCCTGTACTTCCCTAGTGCCGCCTCTCACGGTGACGAAGAAGCCAAGATCTTGTGTGGGGTTTTCCGGACCCTGTTATACTGAATGCGGATGACGAACGAAATGTTCAAACCGTGCAAGTTGAGACCAAACATGACCAAACCTAGCTGGGCTTGCTAGACAGTATGGCGACATGGACACTGGGTGTCCGAGCAAAGGAAGGACTGGCTTGCCACCTTTTTTTCCCCGCGCAACGGTTGAGCCGACTGGCGGTGCCAGTTGTGCGATCTGAGGTGGGCCACAAGGTGCTACTAGAGCTACTGCTGCCACTGCTGCTTCTACTGCTGTGAGTGTGTTCCTGATGCTTCCCCAGACTCTCGGCTGAGCATAGCGACCGGGGTTTCCACGGATGACGTCCAAAGGCCCTTCTTTTTCGGCACCGAATCCGCGTGCGTTTGTGTTCCGCGAAGCCCGGCTTTGATCAAGAAACATCTTCAACCTACGAGCGATGGCCTCACCCTAAGAGAAACATCATCTTCAGAGGCTCCTTCTTCGGTCGAAGTGCTCAATTGGACTCCCAGGATCGCTACGAACCGTAACGAAGAGCATTGCGACTCGAGTCCGGAGCGTTTGGACGCGAACCGAACGGGGCGCTCCTGGCCTTACGAACGGAGCAAGAGGGACGCGAACCGAACGGGGCTCACTTCGCCCGGTTCACCGAACAGATCGCACGGAATCCCGATTCAGGTCACAAGCGCATCGCTACTAGTAACAGGTGCATCGCTAGTAGTAACAAGTGCCTTACTAGTAGTAACAATAAGAATTTAATTGTAATTACTAGCAAAGGAATCTACTAGGACCTTTTGCGCTACAAGGGATGAGGACCCCTACAAGCTCCCACGACGACTCCATATTGGACCCTTGCGGCGCCTTGCGGCCTGAAAAGCAAGCCTATGGTTGTGGATGATGGCCTCCAACCTACTTGCGATGGCCTCCAACCTAATAGCAATGGCCTCCAACCTGACGATGGCCTCCAACCTACTAGCGTGGAGTTCGAGGATAAAGAGAATAACTGCCACAAAAGCAGGAGAAACGTTGTTCAGTTGCCCTGTCGCAATGCCAAACGTTGGAAAGACGAGCGGCATTCACAATTTATCCGGAAAGATGGCCGGCGTTATTCTAGGTTGGAGGCCATGGCTCTTAGGCTTGAGGCCTTTGCTACTTTGGAGGGCCATCGCAAGTGGGTTGGAGGCCATCACAAGTTGGTTGAAGGCCTTCGCAAGCAGGTTATTGTTGCCTTTGTTTTGTACTTGTGTTTTTGATGCGCTAGCCCTTGAAACCCGTGAGATGAGTTTGGTAGGATGATCTTGTTGCCGAATCAATGCTGCCAATCAAAACAGACTCACCCCAGTAGCATAAAAGGCCTGGCCAATTTGGGTGAAGCACAAAAATGAAAGGACTTGTCATATGTTCCATATTCGATCATGTTCAACAGCACGTTGTTTTTTCATGTTGCAGGTCTGTTCAACCGGTCGGTACCCGAAGAAAGGGATCCCCGAATCGGCATGAAAGCCGACTGCCCGCTGGGGCAGTAGGGAAAAGGAAAGCTGACAGTGGCGAAAGCTTCACTTGGGCACCACGTTTCTAGCTGTTGGAATCAACGAGTTCCCCCCCATCAAAGAGCAGTGCCAAATGGCCGGGATTTCCTCCTTTTTGTGGCTCGCAGGGGCACGCTGGTGGCTCATCTTCATCGGCAGCTCGGCCGGTTGGTCCAACGGATGGAACCAAGAGACTGATGGAGCCCCGTTTGTAGCGTCCCTTGTTACTACTAGTAAGGCACCTGTTACTACTAGCGTGGCACTTGTTCCTAGTAGCGGATATGTTCCGCATAGAGAGAAAAGGCATGTAGGAAGATGATTGTTTTATGTTAGACCTTTAAACCTGTTGTTCCCTTGAAAGAGTATTAGAGAAAGGGTGTTGAAAGGTGAAAAAACATCTCAAGCTGTTTTTGGTGAATCAACTGACACGTCCGGAGTGCTGATTGGCTCCTAACCCGACATGTCTCTTCCGGTGTATTGATTACTGGGTTGCATACGGGATCATCCGGGAGTGTCCTGGCACATGAAAGCACCAACTGAAAATGAGGAGGAAAAGAACCTTTCGCGGCTGCCACGCTACTAGAGTGATCTCCACTGTTGGGTCAACACCTTGCCATTGCCGTTCTTGAACTGACCCACAACAACCACCTGAAGTGCCCAGCAACCGCCAGAAAACACTCCGTTGGGATAGATGGAGCAACAGCAGAGAGAGAAGTGCGAAAGTTCACCATTTCACGAGTTCTCTTTGAGTGAACAAACATCGTGGTTCAGGCTGAAACTCGTGGTTTTCTTAACAGAGGTGTCCACCCAAAATGAAAAGAAGCAAGGACAACATGAGCATTATGAGCCCAAGCTAAAACCCTGCCAGAGGAAGTGTCTTCATTTTGTAAGTTCAATACGGTTTCTTTGTTTGGGCAATGGCCTCCAACCTAGTACCTTCCAGACCTTTCTGTGGGTTCCTGGCTCATGTCGGTCAGGAATTGGCGAGGGCACGAGCGCCTTTGCGAAGTGGCACTTCGCTCATCGGCGTGACTTGACGAAGTGGAAGTGGACGGAGTCAGTGCGGCGTCTTCGCTACGGAGCAAGAAGCTACGCACGGTGGAGGCCATTGCTGTTAAATTTGAGGCCATTACTAGTAGCAAGAAGCTACTAGAAACAAGAATGCTTAAGTTAAGATTAAGGGGTTCAGCAATTGCTTTGATTCACTTGTTTCCTGTACGGCCAGTTGAAGCCAGAATGCAAACTGAGCAAGGAACCCTCACAGAAAGTTATGTTACCTCAACTTCGTAAAGCTGTCCATGATTGCGCCTGCGGACTGAAAGACTGTCGTGTGCTTTTGGGTCCCGTTGCAAAAAATTTATGTTTGTGTAAAAGAAAAATAGACTAATAAAAAAATGGTCATGTCTTTGCACCTTGCATCCAAAAGCAATTCATAAGACTTGGCTTTTTTTGTCACCAATGCTCACCTCTAAACTGCATCGCGTTCCCGCCTTGCCTGGCCTAGACCAACTGGCTCCCAACCTATTAGCGATGGCCTCCAACCTAAGAGGGATAAAGATGCTCTTTGTTTGTTGTTTAGATCGTATAGAATGTTCTTCGGTTACACAAACAGCGGAGATTCTTCCCATACTGAGGAGATGGATCCGTATGCTGCAGCTTGGTACATGAAGATCAAGCGCTCTCATTGCCTCACCATTGTGCTTCATGTCTGACGTTGCCTGCGATTCCTTCACTCAATCCTGGACTGTCAGTTCCGGTGTCGACATGGTGGAAAGTGGCTTGTCACAGTCCTTTGCCTCCATAGGTACCAGGAAACCTTCTGCACCGTAGACCGAGAGGTTGGCACACCCCTCATCTTTCCGGGCAAGCATGGTTGGTTTCGGCAAAGCATGTGCTTCCCCGATTTGGTTCTTAGACTTAACTTCCCCTTGTTGAAGCAAGCGATGATGAAAAGCAACCTATTCTTGTCCACTAATGATTGCGTCCATTTTCTCTCAAAAGCATGGCGAAGAGAAGACAAGGAACAAGAAGCTACTAGGAGCAAAGGGCATCGCTACTAGGAGCAAGGAACAAGGTTCGCTACGAATGGAGCAACGCATCCAATGTCAACGGATTTGGAAGATCCCCCGGTCTTCTCCAGTCGCACGGTGTCGCACACCCATCGATCGGGATCTTCCCACCCCGAAGTGCCGGAACCCGCCACAGCCCACCCCAGAGCGTCCCGGCACCTTCAGGCCCTCACTAGTGGGTTGGAGGCCGTTGCTGAAACAAAGAAAGAAAGAAAGTATTGTTTATTCGGTTTTGTCCCGGCACTGGAGCTTTGAGGTCTTGGGACTCTCAGCAGGCTTCACCTTTCACCAGCTGAGCTCCTGGGACTGCGCAACCGAACCAAAAATGGCCAGGATTACCCCAAATCTGTTTTGAAAAAGTGGTGTCTCACCAGGCGTGCGCCACCGAACCAAAAGAAGTCATGTCTCAGAAGCTTTGTGGCTTTGCTCGCTCGCTCAGCGCTTAAACCGGCCAGGCTTTTGTGCTCCTAATAGCGTCCTTGTTACTAGTAGCTTCTTGTTCCTAGTAGCGATGCCCTTTGTTACT